GGTCGGCGACGAACGACGGGACCTGACACTTGAAAATCGCGGCGTTCCCGCGGATCGCGAACTGATCGTAAACCTGAACCTCAAAGTATTGGCCGACCACTGCAATCAAGCGAACAGAGAGGCGTCTACAGGATGTCCCAAAAATGTCTCGCAATCCGAAAGTAGGGGATTCCTGAGGTGATTTGAAGCAACTTTTTCCTTAGCGAAAATGCAATCCGCGGCTTCGTTTACGAGTTATTAACGAGAAACAGTGACCAATCAGAGGCGAGATCATTTGGCGCAAGACGGCCGAGCCAATGAGCGGAACTGGGCTCCGTGCACTCGTTGGCTCGGCCGCCGCGCGCCAGCCGAGCTCGCCTCTTATTGGTCAGTGTTTTTCGTTGATAACTCGTAAACGAAACCTCGGAGAAAATTTTCGCAAAGGAAAAAGTTGCTTCAAATGACCCGAGGAACCTCCCATTTCCGGATTGCGAGACAATTTCGGGACACCCTGTATATGAAACTGTGCTGTCTCTCTCTTTTTTTTTCACCACGACGACCAAAAAACCAGCGAGAAAAAGGGAACAAGCACACATCGTGTAGCCGGCGACGAGTGGTGTGCTAGCCGATGCTTTGATCCGGTCGATTAAAATTTCAATGAACCACGTCGTCGGCTCGCAAACGGCCGAGTTCCACGCACACGCCGAGAGAGCCGGCCGGCCGGCCGCTCTCTTTGCCCCGATGGAAATTAAGCTGGCCAACGGACATCAATTTCCTCGTCGGTTTGATTAGTCTCCGGTTTAATCTAATCCGAAATCACGGCCGGCCCCGATTCGCAGCCGCGCTCGATCTAACGGTCAAACATTTCACCGGGAAATATTAACGGGCGACGTTTTATGGTGTTTGCCCTCTGGTCCCGCTGCTGTGGACCGTCGAATAACATACTTCGTCAAACAGAGATCGCTGGAAATACGGCGGGCACGCGCGACGACGTTCGATCCGATTGATCGGATGCTTGCTTCTTCGCGGTAACATCGCCTAATTGACTGTCGATCGGATTCCGTTTGGCCGCGAACGCGACGCTAAGTTAATCGACGGAGTGGTCCTTAGCTGTTGGGGCGCCTAACGGATACCTAGGGACACCTAGGGATGCCTAGGGATGCCTAAGGACACCCTTCCTGCGAGACCGAATTTATCGAATTTATTTCGTGAAATTTTAGTTGCGATGCTTGGTGAGAAAATGATGTGTGAACAATTTGGAATTAATAAGACAATGAGAACCCGTGCTGCAACTGATAATTTTATTTCATTTTTTAAGGTAATTGTATTTCATTGTTCAGGAATATTGGCAACGTTTTTGGCTGGAAGAGGACGTCTTACGTAAATAATGATGATTTTAAAAATATAGACTATTTACCATCAATTTAACAAGAGGGAATATATCAAATTTATATATGATATATTATATATTTATATATTTATTATATTTATATATCAACACACCGAGAGCATTGTCTTTTAGTCCAAAAACATTTGGCAATATCTTGAAAATGACGAAATAAATTTCTACTAGAAAATGAAATGAAACCGTTGACATTTTTAAACGCAAATCCCATTATCCGACTGTTTCCAAATTTCGCACGTGTAATTTTCTCATCAAGTGTCACAACTTAGGGGAGTAGAAGACTAGAAGAAATAGAAAGTCGATAAATAAGAACCACTCTATATGCCACAATTTCTGCGATAGCGAGTTTCTTAGTATGTTTCTATAAAAAAATGTTGTTGACATTAGAAAACTGTTCCGATGAAAAATTTATCTTGATATTAGAAAAATGTTTCTATGTCAAATTTATCTTGACATTAGAAAACTGTTTCTATAACAAATTTTTCTTGATATTAGAAAAACGTTTCTACGACAAATTTTTCTTGATATCAGAGAAATATATCCACGAAAAATGTTTGTTAATATTTGAAAAAAAAAACGTTTACCCAGAAAACTAGTGGATGAACGTCTTCCTTCAACAACATGTATATTGCAACAGAAATCGTGCGAACTTTAAATAAATCTAATCTTGTTATTCTAACGAAACAATATACATATGAGTGTATATACTATGATTAGTATATACTAATCGCGTTTCAAGCTCTGTGGATCCAGTCATAAAGACAACGAGGACACTTTAGATGCAGCTGTTAGACGACTCACCCTGTACAGTTCAGAGGCCACGCTCACGATTTCCCAGATCGCTGTTACGAACGATCGCAGAGAGTTTCAACAATACTAGCAAGCGAGTAGCTTGCACAAGTAGCTATCGCAGAAAATATGGCGAACGACTATCGCATCCGCAAATGTGCACTTATCCGTAACCTTTGCGCAGGAGTCAACACATCGGGCGCTAGTCGACCGAACGAAGCTGGATGGCCCTGTTCGCGTAGAACGCTAATGGGATCTATGTGCTCCATTAATCCCGTCTCTCGATCCTACGAGGACCGCGACGAGGATCAAGGCCACTGCCAGCCGCACGCTCTGCCACCGTTCTCGTTTGCATCGGCCAACGGAATGAACGAGCTTCTCGTAGACCGGCAAATTGCGCGATCCACTCTGTCAGGCCTCCAACTCTCTCTCTTTCTCTCTCTCTCTCTCTCTCTCTCTCTCTGTTATTCTATCTGTCACTCTCTAACTCTCCCTTTCTCTCACTCTCACTTTGTCTATCTATCTGTCACTCTCTCTCTCTCTCTCTCGCTCGCTCTCTTCCTCTCTCTATCTATCACTCTCTCTCTCTCTCTCTTGCTCTCTCTCTCTCTCTCTCTTCTCCTTCCCAGTGCTTTGTGCATCCTGTGCACCCTGAGACCCGGCAATAATACTAGCCGCGCCGGCGAGAGAGTCAAAGCGCGCGGAGCGGTCTACGCTCGCGCGAGGGATGAGCACGTCGCTGCTGATTCGATTTATTAATTCCATTAAAACAGCCGCGCCGCGCCGGCAGGACTCGTTTAGTGAAATTAAACGTGGGCGGCGACAACGGTTCGTGGTCCGGAAACTGGTGCCGATGATGCTGTTGTCGGAGATTTTGCGAGCGGCCGATCCTTCGGAGATCGGATTCGCGAGGAAGTGGTTCGGAGGTTTTTAATTGGCCTTGCTGGTTTTTTAAGGCTTTAGTTTTTCAGATTGATCGATATTGCTTACTCTTTTTGAAGCTGTTTGAACATGTTTGTAGGGCTGCGGCTTTTTTAGTGCATAAGAGACAATGTATTTTTTTAAAAGTTATTGGAGGAATGATTTTATGGTTTGCTGAGTTTTTGAGATTGATCGAGATTGCTTCCTCTTTTTGGAGCCGTTTGAACGTGTTTGACCCTTTATGGCTGCGGTTATTATGAATTTGCAACGGTAAAAATATTTCAGGATGCTTTTGAATTGTTTTCGACTTAGGAAAATGATTAAAAAATGAGATGAATATCTATGTAGCTCCTGGATCTTGTGATTAAACCTGAGTAAATTTTATTTGCAATGAAGATAAGAAATAACTATTTGAAATAACTCATTTCGAACCATTATTTTCCATGCTGTTATTTCAAATGATCATTTCAAATGGTTATTTCAAATAATTCTAAAATAAAATAAAATAACGAATTAACGAAATAAAGAATAACTACGTTAGTAATGGTACTTAAAATAATATTTCAAATATTGTTATTTCAAAAGTATTCACAGGCATGGAAATAATTGGGAAATAAAATAACAAGTTATTTCAAGTATAATATTTCAAATAATGCCATTTTGTATAAATGCCTCTTCGAATATCGACGATTTTGATAAGTTTTTAAGATGAGTTCAATGCACATTCAAGTTTGAACTGTTCGAAATGACTCACTCTGTATATTATCAGTTGTAATTCAGTTGGACACTTGTAAAGCAAGCCTTACGTCTTTCCCACGACATATTAAACACTGGAACCTCGTTAAATACAGTAACGGTCAATGTCAGAAGCGAACTTTTCCAAGAAACGAGTACTCATTAATTGAGTCGCCCGTTTGCTTCCACGCTGAGATCACAGCAGGGTGTTGAATTTGGTGACTTCAATCGTTTGGAATATTTTCTAGGTACAATAAAAATTGATACATTTTGTTGCCAACTTCGTCTTTTCAAATCGTACTACGTTTTTTCTCTGAATTACATGTACAGAAAGACTTTTCAAAAGGTTTGGAAAAAAGTTGGAAGAACATTTTCTAATTTTTCTATCATCCCAAGCTATTGAAATTTTTGGAAACAATCTTTTTAGAAACTGTCTAGAAAGCTAATCACTTTGAAAAAATTGTGATCGCTTAACCTAATCACAAAAAAAGTTATTCCGTTTTGAAGGGTGGTTGGAAACTTTTTCACCCGACTGTATATACGTGTAACAATCTTATATTTGCTGAATTAATCATCTGGTTTAAAACGTTAATAAATAAACAAAATAAACGTAATTAATCATTCCTAATCCCCAACTTTATACACTGTTCCACCTTGATCGCGGATTTAATGGTATTCAGATAGAAACGAATACAATCAAATACGAAACCAAAAAAGAGAACACAAGAATTTCCGGATACTGTTACAATATTTTCAACTTATCACGATTGTCAAAAGTGAAAAGAAAGATTTCATCTAATTCGTAGTTCTCATAATTAACTTCGACAATTTTTATTTCGCATAAAGATCCGCGGTCTAGTTCCACCCCTCCAAAAAAGGCGAACAATCTCTCGCACGAAATTTCATCGGCGTGTACACCTCAAACACGTTCCCCGGCGAACCGAACAAACGTTGTTCCACCAGCTGAACGACTCACTTCCTCGTCTAAGGTGTCCTCTCTCCATTGTGCCGCAATTTTCGACACACCCCTAACGGACACACCGACAACAGCTAAAGAGAAGGTACTGGCAGAGTCGTGCTCATCGCAGACCCGCTAAATATTCTCTCATGCCCTCGACCCCCGTCCCCCCCTTTCCCCCCGCACTCTTTCTAATCGAGACGCGAGAAGTACCCTTTTCTTCTTGGCTGTTCGCGGAGTAGGTGAACCCGTCCTCGACAGCCAGCCACTCGATCACGTCTACGAAATCCGCCACAAAGCTCGGCACGAGGCACTTCAAGGTAGCCGTGTTGCCGCGCAAGACGAACTCGTCGATGACCCTCGTCTCGTAGAACTGCTGGACCACTGCAACGCGCGTTTTCCCAGAAAATTATACCAACCCGGGTAAACGAAATAAAAACATCGGCGACACCCTCGTGTCACGCGACGCGGTGCTCGCTCTACTCCCACACGCGTTGGGCTACGTTCGCGTTCGAGCTGCTATGAAAGTTGCAAGAACGGAGGGCAGATGGAGATTGCGAAATAATTCTTTCGACTGCTTGCAAACGTTATCAGTTTATCAGAAATTGTCAATTTATGAAAATTGTCAATTTATCAAAAATTGTCAATTTATCAAAAATTGTCAATTTATCAAAAATTATCAATTTATCAAAAATTATCAATTTATCAAAAATTGCTAATTTATCAAGAATTGCTAATTTATCAAGAATTGCTAATTTATCAAGAATTGCTAATTTATCAGAAATTGTCAATTCATAAAAAATTGTCAATTAATCAAAAATTATCAATTTATCAAGAATTGCTAATTTATCAGAAATTGTCAATTCATGAAAAATTGTCAATTACTCAAAAATTATCAATTTATCAAGAATTACTAATTTATCAGAAATTGTCAATTCATAAAAAATTGTCAATTCATAAAAATTTGTCAGTTCACCAAAAATTGTCAATTTACCAAAAATGATCAATTTATCAAAAATCGACAATTTATCGAAACGAGAAAGCTGAAATCAATTATTTCATAATCATTAGCTATGATTTCTAACAAAAGTGTCTTCGTTAAACACAAAACAATAAAAATCCGAATAAATTGAGAACAGTATTGCGTCATTTTCAATTCATTAAAGTCACTAAAAAAAAATGTAAAACAACTGCCTCCGCAGCACTTGTATTATACTTGTATTATACTAAACGCGGACGATCATGTGCGCCGCAGCTCGAGCCATAAACGTATCCCGGTCACCTAAAACGATCGTTCGTGTTCGTTCGAAGGAGAGGAGATGAGAACCAAATGAAGGGAGAAAAAGTAAAAGAGACTACAATAGTGGTGCAACGACGATCTGTTGCAGAACGCAGAAGTTGCGACGCGACGCGACGCGTCCTCCTACCGTATTCCTCGCCGCCAATGTATATCGTTCCATCGTCGGCTACCCATTGATCCACCTGAACGAACTCGGACACGAAACTCGGTATTTTGCATTTCATGATCGCGCTGTTCGCCCGGATCACATACTCGTTCTCGGCCTCGGTGACGTAGAACTGCGAAACGACTGCCCGCGCGGGCATGCCAGGATACACGTGTTAGATGCCTCGCGATCAGGTTAAGCAAAGATCACGCGAGAATTGCGGCACACGCAATAGCGCAAGGCTTGGGGGATTGTCACGGTGACGAAATTATGGGGCAGTGAGAAAATTGCCGGGACGCGAGAGCTTTCGACTGTATTCGCATTTGGCTCGGTGAATAATTATAGAGACAAAGTGATTTTTATGTCGTTACTGATGTCTGAACGAAAATTTAATAAAATGTCGTATTTGTGTATATTTCTATTTTCTACTATTTCTGATTTGATTTGATCAGATTTTGTATTTGTGTATTTCTATTTTCTACTATTTCTAATTTGACTTAATAAAATGTCATTTTTGTATTTCTATTTTTTATTATTCTTGATTTTATTATTTCTTATATAATTGAACAAAATTTGTGTATTTCTATTTTCTATCATTTATAATTTGATTTAATAAAATGTCGTATTTGTGTATATTTCTATTTTCTATTATTTCTGATTTGACTTGATCAGATTTTGTATTTGTATGTTTCTATTTTCTACTATTTCTGATTTGACTTAACAAAATGTCATTTTTGTATTTCTATTTTTTATTATTCTAGATTTTCTATTATTTCTTATGTAACTGAACAAAATTTGTGTATTTCTATTTTCTATCATTTCTAATTTGACTTAATAAAATGTCATAGTTGTATATTTCTATTTTCTATTATTTCCAATTGTATAGAAATATACAAATACGATGTTTTGTTAAGTTACTTTTTTGAATATACAGGGAGTCCCAGCTAAAACAAGCCGCTCATTGTGCTGCGAATAATTACATCATAAAAGTAACTTATTTGCAATTATTTGTACTAAATTCATATTAAATTAAAAAATCTGGATGACGTTTTATAAATAAATTCTGAAGATTCACGAAGGTCGAACTTAAAAATTGAATGACATTTTATAAATTGTTGTCAAAGGTCAACGAAAATGACATTTTAAAATTGAATGACATTTTATAAAATATTGTCAAAGATTCATAAAAATTAAATACAAAAATTGAATGACATTTTACAAATTACTGTCAAAGATCGATAAAAATTAACTACAAAAATTGAATGACATTTTACAAATTACTGTCAAAGATTGACAGAAATTAAATACAAAAATTGAACGACATTTTATAAATCACTATCAAAGATTGATAAAAATTAAATACAAAAATTGAATGACACATTATAAATCACTGTCAAAGATTGACAAAAATTAACTACAAAAATTGAATGACATTTTATAAATACATTTTGAAGATTTATAAGAGTAATAGGAGGCGACTTTCGAAACACCCTCCAATTTGTCTACCCTATAAACATCGCGTAAAGCTCTCCCGCTAATTATCCGACTGGTTCATAATTTCGTCGACCAGCGTAGTTCGATAGATTCACAGAACCCGGCGACACGCCTCAGGGTGGAAGCCGCCATATTCCCTGGCAATTCTTGTCTCCACGAAGCGGGACGTTTCAAAGCGATCGTCGGACGTTCCCGACGCTTTCTCACGTCTGTCCGTTTCGCGTTCCCTCTCGACGAGCCGGCAGCGCAGGAGGATTAATCGTAATGCGGAGCAAAGTACCCGCAGTCTCGTCGCTGCGGAGGACAAGCGAATTTACCATGAGGCGTGTCTAACCCCGATTAACTTGAGCCCACAGTACCCTGCCCGATAGCAGGATCCTCGGGTAGATAGACTTCGCCGTCCTCTCGGATCCACGCCTCCACGGTAACGAACTCCGCGATGTAACTCGGGATGCTGCACTTCAAGATCGCGCTGTTCCCCCTGATCACGTATTCCGTCAGAATCTCCGGCTGATACTGCTGCGTCACGACTGTGACACAGAATTGGCTACTTGGACGAGCTGGATTCGGCCGGCGAATACACCGAGACGAATCGACTAATGTAATGTATAATACATGGTGTTCGGTGATCGAAGGTGGTGAGCAGAGAGAGTCGATTATGGTTCTGTGTTTTAGTATAGAACTCTTTAGAGTGATCGATAGTCTCGAATTAATTTAGAACTGTTCGAAATAGTAGAGAACATTGTTGTTCTACTTTGTAGGATTTTTAGTTCGAGTTATGATACTTATATATCAAATGTTAAATTATAATTACATAATTTATAATTATAATTATATAATTGTATAATTGTAATCATATAATTATATAAATGTAATTGTATAATTGTGATCATATAATTATATAAATGTAATTGTACAATTGTAATCATGTAATTATATAAATGTCATTGTGTAATTGTAATCATATAATTATATAATTGTAACCATGTAATTATATAAATATAATTGTATAATTGTAATTATATAATTATATGATTACAATTATACAATTATATGGTTACAATTATACCTGTCTCTTATACACATCTAGATGTGTATAAGAGACAGGTAACCATATAATTATATAAATATAATTGTATAATTGTAATTATATAATTATATGATTACAATTATACAATTATATGGTTACAATTATACCTGTCTCTTATACACATCTAGATGTGTATAAGAGACAGGTAACCATATAATTATATAAATATAATTGTATAATTGTAATTATATAATTATATGATTACAATTATACAATTATATGGTTACAATTATACCTGTCTCTTATACACATCTAGATGTGTATAAGAGACAGGTAACCATATAATTATATAAATATAATTGTATAATTGTAATTATATAATTATATGATTACAATTATACAATTATATGGTTACAATTATACCTGTCTCTTATACACATCTAGATGTGTATAAGAGACAGGTAACCATATAATTATATAAATATAATTGTATAATTGTAATTATATAATTATATGATTACAATTATACAATTATATGGTTACAATTATACCTGTCTCTTATACACATCTAGATGTGTATAAGAGACAGGTAACCATATAATTATATAAATATAATTGTATAATTGTAATTATATAATTATATGATTACAATTATACAATTATATGGTTACAATTATACCTGTCTCTTATACACATCTAGATGTGTATAAGAGACAGGTAACCATATAATTATATAAATATAATTGTATAATTGTAATTATATAATTATATGATTACAATTATACAATTATATGGTTACAATTATACCTGTCTCTTATACACATCTAGATGTGTATAAGAGACAGGTATAATTGTAACCATATAATTATATAAATATAACCATATAATTATATAAATACAATTATATAAATATAACCATATAATTATATAAATACAATTATATAATTGTAACCATGTAATTATATAAATATAATTGTATAATTGTAACCATATAATTATATAAATATAATTGTATAATTGTAACCATATAATTACGTAATTGAAATTGTAGAATTTATAAGTTGGTAATATGTAGATTCACCACCTTCTTGTTTGCAGCATTGGTNCTATATAATTATATAAATATAACCATATAATTATATAAATACAATTATATAAATATAACCATATAATTATATAAATACAATTATATAATTGTAACCATGTAATTATATAAATATAATTGTATAATTGTAACCATATAATTATATAAATATAATTGTATAATTGTAACCATATAATTACGTAATTGAAATTGTAGAATTTATAAGTTGGTAATATGTAGATTCACCACCTTCTTGTTTGCAGCATTGGTCACTAAACACCCTATATATGCTGAACAGTGAACACCCTATATTCAGATAGAATCCTGGGGA